CTTGTATCATAGGGACATTTTCCTTAGAGCCTTTTCACCGGAAATGGTTACAGGGTTTGTAATCTTCGTAAGGGGATATGGGCCATTGTGCTGTCACAGTCTTGGAACTGCCTACTGATCCTACATAACAGTTTGTTTTGCCTTGGGGCTGGCATTAAGACTGTTATGTTCACCTAGGAGAAGCACTTTGGGAACAACACAGGAGGGATGGTCAGACCTGGTGCAGCTGCGGGAATGTTTTTGCTCAACGATGTGACAGAGAGTTAAATGCTCTGTAATTAAATTCCCTTTTCTGCCATACCACAAGGGCTTTTTAAGATGCTTTGTGAGGGGTGGTGCTGGAGATTAAATCCAGAACTTTGCTAATACAGAGCGTGTGCTCTATTACTAAGCCAGACTCTGAGCCCTATTATTTGCAGATTATATAGCTCAGTGGTAGAACACTTACCTGGTGTGTGGAAGGCTGCAGGTTCAATTCTCAATACACCAAAAGGGCAAAAAGATTTTAAATCTTTTGTTATATTTTCCCTCCAATTGTATTAGTGTATTACTGAGGGAATGTAATTGTAGATAGTAGAGTACCTGTGGGAAGGCTGGATCTAGAGAAGTGTTCTCTCACAGTGAGAACGTGAGAGTATGTTACAACCATCATTACTTTATTTTGCTGTGGGATAATGCTCTTGTACACAGTAAAGATTTGTCACTCGTATTAGTTTATTAAGATGCTGATTGGCCAGTGGCCAGGCAGGAAGTATAGGTGGGGCAACCAGACTAGGAGAATTCTGGGAAGGGGAAAGGCAGATACAAGTCATCAGTCAGATGCAGAGGAAGCAAGATGAGAATGCCTTACTGAGAAAAGGTACAAGTCACATGTCCAAACATAGATGATAAGAAATAAGGGTTAATTTAAGTTGTTAGAACTAGTTAATAGGCCAGGCGATGGTTGCACACGCCTTTAATCCCAGCACTCAGGAGGCAGAGGCAGGAGGATCTATGTGAGTTCGAGGTCAGCCTGGTCTACAAGAGCTAGTTCCAGGACAGGCTCCAAAGCCACAGAGAAACCCTGTCTCGAAAAATCAAAAAAAAAAAAAAAAAAGAACTAATTAATAATAAACTTAATCTAATAGGCTAAACTGTGTATAATTAATATAAGCCTCTTTGTGTTTATTTGGCACCGAACAGCTGTGAGACCAAGCAGGACAGAAACTTCCATCCACATCATTTTCATACCCAGTTGATAAGCTATCTGGTCATTTATGCAGTCCAACATTAATGTGACATTAAGGTAAGAGATGTGATGTCCAATTTAATGCCCCTATCTCCCACTTCTAAGATGTGCTATCTTTGAACCAGCTGAAAACACATTATCAAGGTGTAGGCGAGATGGTCCAGTGGTCAAAAGCATTTCCAGAGGACTTGAGTTCAGTTCCTACACAAGGCAGCTCATAGCCTGTGACTCCAGGAGAAACAACACCCCCTTTTGTTGTCATTAGCACCAGGACGCACTTGGCAGATACTCACACAGACACATATGTATTTACATAGATAATTTTTTTTTTTGGTTTTTCGAGACAGGGTTTCTCTGTGGCTTTGGAGCCTGTCCTGGAACTAGCTCTGTAGACCAGGCTGGTCTCGAACTCACAGAGATCCGCCTGCCTCTGCCTCCCTAGTGCTGGGATTAAAGGCGTGCGCCACCATCGCCCGGCAATTTTTTTTATAAAGTATCATCAAGGACCAGAAAGATGGGTCAGCGGGTAAAGGTGCCTGCTGGTGAGACTGAAAACCCCCGAGTTCAGTGTTTGGGACCCACATGGTGGGAGGAGAGCACTGCCTCCTGGAAGTTGTCCTCTGCTACACGTCTGATGCTTCGAAACATGACTGAACAACATTTCACTATTCCATTGGATGGTTCTATCACAGTTATTTATTTAGCCATGGGGGGACATTTGGATTGTTTTCAGTTTGGGGCTTTGAAAGCACTGCCACAGATAATTGCAAACATTTTTTCTTTTTTGGTCAGGACCCCATGTAGCACAGGCTGGCCTCATTCATTATGTAGTCCAGGCTTGAATGCCTGCTCTTCTTGCTTCCACTTCCCATGTGCTGACATTATGGAAAGGCAGCATCATATCCGGCTTGCAAACTTTTAAAAATGATTATTTTATTATTATTTTCCTTCTTTTGTTTTCAATTTTTGACTCTCTCTACATAGTTCTAGTTGTCTTGGAACTCACTATGAAGACCAGGCCAACTTTGAACTCACAGAAGTCTACCTGCCTCTGCCTCCCATGTGCGAGGCCTAAAGGTGTGTGCCACCATGCCAGTCTTAAATGCAAGCTTTATTAAGGAACATGACGGGAGTTAGGAATGCTGCAATACATTTGTAACTCTGGCTTTGTTAGTGGTGGCTGCAGTCTGGGCCAGGTGTTTCCAAGTTCTTGGTCTCTTATTCAACAGACTGAAATAAGGGCTTACTTAGATTTGCAAAGAAAAACTTTTTTCAAGGCAAACTCATGGGACAGATCAGAAAGGGACAGATATACTGTCATGATTGACAATGAGCCACGGGAATGAAAGTCCTTAAAGGCTCCAGTTACTCTTTGGAGTTACTTCTTTTATAGGGTTCAAGAGGAGGAAGAGTTGGATACTAAGGGTGATTGTTTGTGTGGGTCTCTACTCTGATTGACAGATTGTTATATAACCATTCCTCTAGTGTGCATGGCCCATCCATATTATTTGATTTTAATCATATTCAAGCCCAATTATGAATATGCATAAGATGGCCAATAGGGGATTTCCCTAGAAGTTCACTTTGAAGACAAAGTTTACTTTATTGTGCTTGAACCTTAAACTAGTTCAGGCATAGTACTAAAATACTGAGAATACTTTTGAATAGAATCTGTCTATGTCTGATGATTGTTATGGGGAGCAGAAACTTATTCTGTTGCTCACAGAGGATGTGCATGCAGCTCAGTGCAGGATAGGTGCATTATCTGGAGAGGAGAGTGTACTTGTATGAGTGGGTAAATGTCTCAGGATATCAAGTACATTTTTAGCAGAGAGTGTGTGAGTAGCCCATACCAAGTGGAGTTCCAGGTTGCTAAACTGTCACCTATGCTTGCCTGCTTCATTCAGCAGTGTAAGGGAACTACGGGTCCTGAGAAGAGGGATGAGGTAAGAATTACTGATCAGTAAAAACAATTAGAGCCGCCAATTAAAAAGAAGCTTCCTCCTAACCCCTCTTGCGCCCGCCCAAGTGCTTATTTCTAGCTCTTGTTGTGACCATGGTGTCCTTGAAGAGATTCACCTGCCTCTGCCTCCCCAGTGCTGGGACTAACGGTGTGAGCCACATAACACACCACAGCCCAGCTTTTCCTGGCACATCTTGTGGGGAACTGCTAGGCTGCGCCGCCTCCTGGGTCTGGAATAACACTTCCCACTTCAGCGGTCAGGCTTCAAGGGCCATGCCTGGTCCTAGTCCTTGCTCCCAGAGTTTTCTCTTTCTCTAGGTAGTGCTGCTGCAAAAGAGGATGGACTTGGAAAAGAGTCATCACAGTGTGGAGGCTCCCTGGCTTCCTGCTGATAGCAACCTTGTCGGCTGTTGGAGTGAGGCTCACCGAATCCGCTGTGCTGTCAGTACATAAATCCCCAAAACATGAGTTCATATCAAAGAAGAATGGTATTGGAACCGTGGGAGTCAGCGATTCTGCACAGGAAACTCTGTGAGATGTTTACTGTAGTCTGCCTCAAAGTGGGACCAAAAAAAAAAAAAAAAAAAGAGTTGAGTTGGAGCTTTGAGAGGGTGAAGGCTGCCAGTGAGCTCCACTCTCCGGTCATGAGAAGTGACTGAAGTCATCAACAGATCTCGTGATGAAGATGGCTGGCTGATTAAGATGAGCAACCATTTAGAGTTGAATGAATTAACAGTGAAGAAGCATATGAAAAATACGTTATATCCACTGAGGAGTCAACATGGCACCTCCCACCCCCATTCCCAAATAAAACAGTGGGAAGTAACCAGCGCCTGCAAGATTGTCTTAAATTGGAGGAGGACAGAAGACCTTAAAGAACTTTTAGTCATACCAGTGGATAAGAAACTGTTCTCAGCAGTGCTACTGAAGAAAGTCCCCAACTTCCTAACGGATGCGGATAAACATAATGGACAAATTTTTGTCAGACCCAAGACTAGGGGCTGAACTCTGGAGTTCAGAATTCATGCGATTACCTATGATTAAAAGTTATGAAGCTGGGTTTGATGAGGAACCACCCTTTTACCCCAGCCCATCTTTTGGGATGGAAGGTTCTGTTGTATTAACCTCCAAGCACTTGGTTTTGCCTCAGATAGTTGAGTTTTGCACGCTGAATTTGCTTTTAACTTCTTTTTTTTTTCATTTTTTTTATTTTATTGAGAATAAGAAAAAAAAGTTTCCACCTCCTCCCAGCCTCCCATTTCCCTCCCCCTCCCCCCACTCTTCTCCCCCTGCCCCCACTCCTCTCCCCCTCCCTCTCCTATCCAAAGAGCAGTCATGGTTCCCTGCCCTGTGGAAAGTCCAAGGTCCTCCCCCCTCCTTCCATGTCTAGGAAGGTGAACATCCAAACTGGCTAGGCTCCCATCAAGCCAGAACATGAAGTAGGATCAAAACCCCTTGCCATTGACCTTGGCTTCTCATCAGTCCTCATTGTTCGCCATGATCAGAGAGTCCGGTTTTATCCCATGCTGTTTCAGTCACAGTCCAGCTGGCTTTGGTGAGCTCCCAATAGATCAGCCCCACTGTCTCAGTGGGTGGGTGCACCCCCCGTGGTCCTGACATCCCGCTTTTAACTTCTATCTCCCCACCTAGAAACGCCCCCAGTCACTAGGACCAAGGCCGACTAAGCAATTCCACCTATTTCCAAGGTCCCCCGCCTCCAGCCGCGAGTATATCCTCTGCGCATGCTCACAACCGAGTCTCCGGTTGGTCGACTAGGAGCGTGGGTATGTTTTCCCAGCATGCCCCGCGCTGCTGTCATGGCTGCCCCCATGTACCTGTATCCTCACATGGGACGCTAGTCCTGCGGGTGTCTTCACGGTACCTGTGGCCACTAGACGCCGGCGACTCTGGTCCCTCCTCCTTTCGCTTCCTCCTGCCCCGTGGGACCCTCGCGGAACCCCTTTTTGGGTACAGTGATGCCGGGAGGGATGTGGACGCCGGAGCTGGCGCTTCTGAGAGGCTTCTCCACGGAGGCGGAGCGGCTGTCCTGGAAGCAGGCGGGCATCTGTGGCTCAGGTGGGAGAGCGGCACCCTCGGGGAGTTAGGTTAGCACCAGAGCTGGGAGGGCAAGGGGTGGCAGCCCTGGATACAGAGGGGGTGTCAGGAGGGAGGAAGTTTTGTTTGATGATCTGAGATCTGGGAAAGTTCCTGAAGGACAGACTTCATCTAATGTTTAATTTAGGACTGACAGGTAAAGAGAATTCATCAGAAAAAAAAAAATCGCGCTTGTAAAGTGTTGAGGCAAGTATGAACTAGGGAATCATGAGAGAACCGGTGTGCTTGGATTGGCCTCCTACGGGGAATATTGAACGTGGGACTTCAGCAAAGGAAACTTTTGTCAGCTGAAATTTTGTGGCTTTCCTGAAGAAGGGTAATATGCCTGTTATTATTATCATCAGTGTTTCTGTGTGTGACCTCTCCTTTGCTACTCATCGTCACTGTAGGTATTCTGTAATTCTAGATGTTGGTGGAATTAGAAGGATTTGCTCAATACTGAGTGATTAATGTATAGTCAGCATTCTAAGTTTATACTGTTTTGCATATTGAAATATTTATGTAATGGATTATCATTTACACTTAAATTCTGTTGGTTTACCGGACCGATTTTCTTCTATTACAGATGTTGGAGTTTTCTTGGACTTGCTGTTAGAAGGGAGCTATGAGGCCATGTTCTTACATTCAGTGACCCAAAATATTTTAAATTCAACAACGGTGGCTGAAGAAAAGATTGACAGCTACCTGGAGAAACAGATAGTAAATTTCTTGGATTGCTCGATGGATCTGGAAGAAATTGAAAGGTAGAATTGTATTTGAAATTTTCTCAGAGAAACACTTGCAGGGGACTGGAGAGAGGACCCGGTTTCAATTCCCAGCAGCCACTTGGTGGCTCACAACTGTACAACTCCAATTTCAGGGGATCCAACACCTTCTTCTGACACCCATGTGCACCAGGCACACATGTAGTACACATATATACACCCAGGCAAATCACTCATATGCATCAAGTAAGTAAATAAACTTTTAATTAATTTATTTCTATTTTTTAAAAAAGATTTTATTTATTTATTATGTATACAGTGTTCTGCCTGCATGACAGAAGAGGGCTTCAGGTCTCATAATAGATGGTTGTGAGCTATCATGTGGTTACTGGGAATTGAAATCAGGATCTCTGGAAGAACAGCCAGTGTTCTTAACCTCTGAGCCATCTGTCCAGCCATCGCCCCCAAATTTTGAATACTTTTATGGCACCTTGGCACCACCATAAGCCCTGCTATTTAGCAGTTGGTAAACCTGGACTCATGATATGCCAAGTAATGTAACATAAGGTCTCTAGCTCAGAAGATCTTCCAGAATGAAAAATGACAGTGGTGTAGGATCAAAATGAGTTTTGTATATGAGAATAACACATGCTTGGTAGTCACTGCGAAAATTCCCAAGGCTTAGGTTTGATAAGTCTTAGCTATCAGCTTGTTTCCTTTTATGTTTCTTCTTGTTTTTTTTGTTTCACTATGTAGCCTTGTCCTAGAACTCACCATGTAGACCAGGCTGGCCTCAAACTCACAGAGATCCACCTGCTTCTCTGCCTCCGAAGGGCTAAGATGAAAGAGGCACATGCTTTAAAGGGGGTGGCTCATTTTCTTTAACGTGTAGACATAACTTGACTCCTGCTGTTTCCAGGTTACTGAGAGATGCTTGCATTTTCATTTACTGGGTTTCAGATTGTTATCTCTGAAGAGATTAGAGAACTGCATGTGTTAATCGTGGAACCCTCAATTTACCTTTTTTCAATTAGGATGCCTGCATACTAGTTAAATCTAAAGCTCTAGAGGCTTTTACTGTCCCGTGTTTGTTAGCATGCTTCCTCTTCTCATCCATCCATGACATCTGTCCAGAATTTTTAACCAGCTCCAAAAGTCATACAGTTTCATTCTGCCCTATTGTTTACAGAATAATTTCTTAAACAGTCGTTTGACGAATAAACCAATTACCTTGTTAGGTTGTGAAGATAAATAAGACAACACATTTTCTTTTTTTTTTTTGGTTTTTTGAGACAGGGTTTCACTGTAGTTTTTAGAGCCTGTCCTGGAACTAGCTCTTGTAGACCAAGCTGGCCTTGAACTCACAGAGATCTGCCTCCCGAGTGCTGGGATTAAAGGCATGCCCTACCACCCGTTTGCCTAGTATTTATTTTTCAAGCTAATACAATTCTGTTTCATTTTTTCTAATTTTCAATATTGTCAGTCTTGATTTTGTTGTTGTTGTTTATGACTATGTCTTGTATCACACATTTGGCCAGGGTTTGCAGTAACCTTCAGATTGGCCTCAAACACATAATCCTTTTGCCTTAGCTCCCCAAATTGGGGATTGAAGGTATATACTGCCATGCCCAGGTCATTTTTGAGTTTCCTCTTCTTCCTCTTCCTCCTCCTCCTCTTCCTCTTCTTCTTCTTCCTTCTCCTTCTCCTCCTTTTCCTTCTCCTTTCCTTCTCCTTCTCCTCCTTTTCCTTCTCCTTTCCTTCTCCTTCTTCTTCTCTTTTGTCACTTGGGATTGAGTTTAGGGCTTCTCACTTACTGGGTATACATTCTACCATTGAGTTGTATCTCTAACCCTTTTTTATATTTTTTATTTTGAGGCAGGGTCTTACTAAGCTGTCCAGGGTGTCTTTGAACTTGTGATCCTCTTGTGTCAGCCTCCTGGGTAGCTGGGTTTGCAGGCTAAAGCACGAGGCCTGGCTTTGGTCTTGATTCTTATTTGCTGGCTGATGTGTTTGTACTATAGTAAAGTTAGCCTTGTGGTACCCATTCACATCTCTCCTCTTCCTTCCCCAGCGCCACTTGCATGCACACAAATACACTGTTCACAGGCGGACCAGAATTGTAGTTTAAAAGATGCACTTTGTTTGACCTGTTTTAGGACACACTCTCCAGGAGAATATTTTGATAATGGGCATATTCTGTGTCTCATGTGATTAGTACGGTAGCCACTTTTCATACTGAGCTATTGAGTACTTGAAATATGGAGTTTGTGCCTAGAGAATACAGTTTACATTTAAGTTAAATAGATTTGCATTTATGTTAAATTTTAAAAAAGATTTATCTGTTTTATTTTGCCTATACCAAAGCACACCATGTGCTTGCAGTGCATGTGGAGATCAGAAGAGGGCGGCAGATCCCCTGGAAATGGAGTTACAGACAGTTGTTAGCAGCCTTGTGCATGCTGGAAATATAACCTGAGTACACTGGATGGGCAGACAGTGCTCTTAATGCTGTGCCATCTCTATAGCCCTAGGTTAAATTCAGTTTAAACTGCATATGGCTGGCTAATGGATTTATTAGATATTACAGATATAAATTGTACTATATTAGGATAGTTTCAACTATTACTTGATGGTTTCTTTTTTTCTTTCTTTTTCTTTTTCTTTCTTTTTTTTCCAGACAGGGTTTAGCTGTGTAGCTCTGACTGCCCTAGAAATCACTCTGTAGACTAGGCTGGTTTCAAACTCAGAGAGATCTGCCTGTCTGCCTCCTGAGTGCTGGGATTAAAGATGTGCACCACTTGGCCTAGTTTTTTTTTTTCTTAATTAAACTGAAATTAAGTAACATACATGCAAGTATATGGTGTTAGTAGTTGATATTTGTTCATTTTCTGTGCTGGTTAGTTTCTGTCAACTTGACACAAACCTAGATATATCTGAGAACAGGGACTCTTAATTGAGAAAACACCTCCATAAGATTGGCCTAAGCAAGTCTGTAGGGCATTTTCTTGATTAATGATTGAAATAGAAGGGCGCAGCTCACCATGGCCACCCTGTGGGTGGATAGCCCTGCATGGTATTAGAAAGCAGGCTGAGGAAAGCCATGGAGAGCAGGCAAGTAAGCAGCATTCCTCCACGGCCTCTGCTTTAGTTCCTACCTTCATGTTCCTGACTTAAGTTCCTCTTGATTGATCTCACTGATGGCGTGTGACCTGAGGATTGTAAGCTGAAACCAACTCTTCCCTCCCCAACTTGCTTTTGGTTGGGGCACTTTGTTTTTTTTTTTAATCACAGCATAGAATTCCTAACTAAGACATTTACCATTCTTGTTTTTAGACAGCAGCTGGTATTCCTACTTGGTGTGAGCAGCCTGCAGCTTTTTGTTCAGAGTAACTGGACTGGGCCTCTTGTGGACTTGCACACTCAGGATTTCTTGCCACCTGTTCTGTTTGAACAGTTTAGTGAGGTATGCTTCTTGGAAATGTCATATCCCAGTTTCTTTTTTCCTAAATGTGATTCTTTTCAAACAGGTGTTTGTAAATTGGAGTTAACAGTAAGTAGGAAATAGATGACTTTGTAGTTTGCATAAACTACTGAGAATGTTCTTTGATCTTCTGTCTCCCACATATATGCTGTGGCATTTGCATTGATCTCATCCATATATATTGCACACATTGTAACACATGTACATTACATGCATGCACATTTGCGTGCACACTCACGAAGAACATGTCTCCATTGCACTCAGCACCTAGTTAGTAGAGTAGACATGATCATTGTCATAGAACAGAGCTTCTGATGGCTTTCCCTAGATCTTGATCCCTGTCTTGATTTGGTGGTTATATATGGTGGGGCCAGTGAGGTTCTCTCAGCTCTTTTCTTGTGGGCTTGCAGCCTTCTCTATTTACCATTGAGTTCTACGAACAATTGTATCCTCTTTTCTATTTCAGTTGTACTGGGAATTGAACCCATGGCTCAGCATGGTAGATACATACTCTACCACTGAGTTAAACTCCCATCTGATTTCAACAAGCCTGGGCATACTGCATTGGAAGCTCCCGTGTGCATCCCAGTAGTACCTTCTGACACCCACTTTGCTGGAGCACTTGAAACATTTCCTTGTTTATCATTCTGTGCTTTTCTTCATAGTCACCTTTCCTAAGGAATATGAAGGAAACGTGCTCTTTAGTCTTGCCTGGTTATACCCATAAGTCAATGAATGTATAGATTATTTTTTTACTTCTCTTATTTAGTGATATATTTTGAAATTATACTTTTTATTATTCTTGTTATTTTTGAAATTGAGACAGGCTTTCACTATGTAGCCGTGGCTACTCTGGAACTCATTATGTAGACCAGGCTGATCTTGAACTCATAGTAATTGTCCTGTCTGTGCCTCCCAAGTGCTGGGGTTAAAGGTGTTGTCACTACAATTGGCCTTGTTATTTTTTTAAAAAAGAACTTTTCATATGTGTGTGTTTGTATTTGTAAACGAGGCTGCACATGTGCATATGGAGATCAGAAGACAATCTTGGGTGTTGGTGCTTGCCTCTCACCTTGTGCGGGATGGGATCTTGGGATCTTTTGTGGTTTGTGCTGTGTATCTCAGGCTAGCCTGGCCTTTGAACTCCCCAGAGTTCTCCTGTCTCCACTTCCCTTCTCTCTTTTGAATACCGGAATTACAGATGTTTGATACTGCGCCCAGCTTTCCCATGGATTCTGGGGTCTAAACTCGGTTCCTCTGACTTATTCTACAAGTGCTTTACTTTTTTTTTTTGTCCAAGAACTGGTTTATTATTTTCATTTTCCTGCTAAAAATATTAAGTCTGATGCGACTGCTTGAAGTCGAAAGTTATTTCCCAAGCCTGACCCCTGAGTTCCAGCCCTGAACCAACTCCAAGACACACACACACAGACACACAGACACACCTGACCCCTGAGTTCCAGCCCTGAACTAACTCCAAGATTGTATATACACACACGCGCACACACACACACACACACACACACACACACACACACACACACACTAATAGTAAATAAGAGTAAAAAGTACCAGGTGTTGAACCCAAGGCCCTGGGCATGGAAAGTAAATACTCTGGCACTGATCTATACCCCTAACCTCTTGGGAGGCATTTTTATAAGTAGTAGATAACCTCCAAGGCAAATAAGCTGGCAATCAGACAGAATAAACCATAAAAACTCCAATCAGGCCAGCATCTCTGAAAAGGCTCCCCATAACTCTTTCTCCCTCCCACCTGCATTTGGCTCTAGCAGACTGACCTCCAGTCTGGTTCCCCAACATTCCACACACATTCACTCCTGAGTCCCTTTTCTGGTCTTGCTGTTCCTGTCTGGAGCGCTCTCAGTCCCCTTAACACACATGATTCCAGCCTTTGCTTGAGGCCACTGCTTGAAGATGACTTTTGAAGTAACCTCCCTCTGCAAGTGCTTTACTTGTTAAGTGGTCTTCTCAGCTGGGTTGAAACTTTGATCTGGGGACCAGTGCTTCAGTATCTTATTGCTGTTATTTGCCTGTGTTGATTTATGCTTAAGTATTTGCAAGTATGCTTTGTTATAGATAGTTACCAAAGCAAAGTTAATTTCCCCTGCTTTCATGTATGATTTTGTCATTGGTAGAGCTGTTTTCCATCCACTCATTGGTGCTAATCAGCCCCAGAGGGATAGTACTGAAAGCTCATGTCAGGTCAGGGGTTGCCTCTGACACTGGAAGGTCGCCCCTCACACTGGGAGGCCAACTTTCACACTGGGAGGCCAACTTTCACACTGGGAGGCCAACTTTCACACTGGGAGGCCATCCTTCACACTAGGAGGCCATCCTTCACACTAGGAGGCCATTCTTCACACTGGGAGCCATCCTTCACACTAGAAGCCATCCTTCACACTGGGAGCCATCCTGCACACTAGGAGGGCATCCTTCACACTAGGAGGGCATCCTTCATACTAGGAGGCCATCTTTCACACTAGGAGGCCATTCTTTACACTAGGAGGCCACCCTTCACACTGGGAGCCATCCTTCACACTAGGAGGCATCCTTCACACTAGGAGCCATCCTTCACACTGGGAGCCATCCTTCACACTGGGAGCCGTCTTTCACACTGGGAGCTATCTTGCATACCGGAAGGTTATTCCTAGCACTAGAAGGCTGTCCTTTGTACTTGAAGGTGTCCCTTCATAGTGGAAGGCCACCCCTCACACTGGGAGGTTGTCCTTCACAGGGGAGCTTGTCCTCTTGTAATCTGGCTTTATAAGTTTGGCTCATACTTCCAGATGTTACGTTTCCTACACTGTGCTGATGAATATATTTTCTGTCTTTCTTGGGGAATTGTTTTGTTTTTCCCTTTACTTTGTCTTTTTTTTTAATATTTATTTATTTATTATGCATATAATCTGTCTGTGTGTATGCCTGAAGGCCAGAAGAGGGCACCAGATCTCACTACAGATGGTTGGGAGCCACCATGTGGTTGCTGGGAATTGAACTCAGGACCTTTGGAAGAGCAGACAATGCTCTTAACCACTGAGCCATCTCTCCAGCCCTTTACTTTGTCTTTTATTTATTTTTTTTGAAACAGGGTTTCTCCATGTATCACAATCTATCTGGGAACTCACTCTGTTAGACCAGGCTGGCCTTGAACTCACAGAGATCTGCCTGCCTCTGTCCCTGAGTGCTGGGATTAAAGGCGTGCACCACCACTGCCTGGCTTGTTTTGTCTCTTTTTATTGAAACTATAAGTAATCCTTTTAAAAATGGGCTATTCCCCCCCCCCCCCACTCTTGAAGCATAGTTAGAATCCTGCCATGAAGCCTGTATTGTGTACAGGGGTAAGAGCTATGGGCAGCACTTCTCACATTGTAATCTAGGGAAAGAGAGGACGAGAACTTACCTTTAACCTGGCCATTCATTCATTCCTTCATTCACTGTATGTTATTTGTTAGTCCCAACTCCTGAGAGTCGGTCATTTGGTGTGGGAAGTCCTTCTGTCTATCTTTTACTTTTACTGGTTAATGAATAAAGCTGTTTTGGCCAGTGGCTTAGCAGAATAGGGCAAGGTGGGAATTCCAAGCAGATAGAGGAGGAGAGAGTAGGTGGAATGAGTGAGAAGCCATGCAGCTGTCTGCAGGAGACAAACACTCTCTGGAGCCCACCAAAACTTTGCCAGTAGGCCCTGACCTCGTGGTGATATACAGATTAATGGAGATGGATTAGTTTAGGCTAAAACAGCTAGCTAGAAATAAGCTTAAGCTATTGACCAAACAGTATTGCAAATAATATAGTTTCTGTGTGATTATTTTGAGTCTGGGCAGCCGGGAACTAATGAACAGCCTCTGTTAACAGGCATTGAATTGTAGGCCTGGGAATTGCTGTCAAGACAATGATATCATGGCTGTATTGTCTAACTTTTGTTACCTTATTAAACTGCTTGCTTGTTATTTGTATGTAGGGGTTTTAGGTAGAAGACAGAGATAGAACAGAGCATACTTCTCATCTCAAAGTGAGTGGATGGTTCCCCTTAGAGACCTGTCTTACATCTTCTTCCTCTTCACCAGAGTGACTTGGGCCTTAGGAAATATGTCCTGATAAGACATGAGCTCCGGTCTGATGTGAGGAGCACAGGTTAGCCACTTGAGTTCCTGTCTGATCTGAGGGGAACAGGTTAGCCACTTGAGCCTAGTCTGGTCTGAGGAGCATAGGTTAGCCACCGAGTTACAGTCTGATATGCAAAGCCCAGTCTAGTCTGAGGAGCACAGATTAGGCAGTTACTTTTTGAGTTGCTTGAGATTCCTCCTCTGTATTATTAGTTAATAACTGTACCATTAGTTAATAAAGAAACTGGCTTAGCCTGATAGGGTAGAACAGAGATAGGAGGGAAAACTAAACTGAATGCTGGGAGAAAGGAGGCAGAGTCAAAGAGAAGCCATGGAGCTGCTGCCCGAGACAGACATGCTGCAGCCTTGCTGATAGGCCATGAGCCTCATGGTAAAATATAATATAATGGAGATGGGTAGACATAAGAGTTAGCCAATAAGAAGTTAGAGCTAATGGGCCAAGCAGTAATTTAAATAATGTAGTTTCTGTGTGATTATTTTTGGAAGTCTGGGTAGTCAGGAAAACGAACGAGCAGCCTCTAACAACACTTCAATTTATCTGTCCATCCATCCATCCATCCATTGATCTATTTATTTATTTATAGCATGGATTTTGCTATGTTGCTTAGACTGGTATTGATTCTGAACTCCTGGGCTCAAGCCACCTTTCTGCATCAGTCTCCTAGAGAGTGGGGACTACTTCATGCACCATCATGGCTGTCTTGACTTTTATGGATCTGTTTCCTCACTTTCTAAAATTTATATTCTTACTTATATTGTGCGTGCATCTTCTTCTGTGTCTATGTTTGTTTGTTTGTATGTGCCTGTATGTGCACATCTTATCAAAGCCCAAGGTTTACTTTGAATGCTTTCCTCTATTCTACTTTATCATTTTTTATTTTTTCAGTTTTTAAATTTGTTTTATTTTGTGTGTGTGAGTGTTTTCCCTGCATGTATGCATGTGTAGTCTACGCATGCTGAGTTTCAAGAGGGGTTGAATTCCTTGGAACTGTAGATGTAGATGGCTGTGAGACATGGTACGGATGCTGGGGATCCCCCAGGTCTTCTGCAGGAACAAGAGCGCTAAGCTCTTAGCTGTCAGCTATCCCTTTAGCCCTTCTCACCTACATTTTTGAGGCAGTCTTTCACTGAGAGCTCATTTTCTGGAGCCCATTGATTTGACTAAAATGACTGACCAGGAAGCTGATTGGGTCCTCCTGGCTCTGCATCCTTGGCATCGGGATTACAGATACTTTCCACTAAGCTGAGGGCTTATTTTTTTTTTTCAAGGTGGGTGCTGGGATCTGAAATCAGGTCCTTCTGTTTGTGCAGAAAGCACTTTACCCACTGAGCCTTCTATTAACTATAGCCTGTAATCTGCCCACTGTTGGATGTGAATGACCTGGTTGTTAATTATCATTGATGGAAATTAGGGAATGGATGTGCTGCATAATAACCTTTGCCATGAGTGAATTTTAACTGAATATACATATATAATACATATTTTATATAATACATATAGTACTTATATTTTAAATAAACATTATACTCTTCATGTAGGGTTACTTCATGTTTTGAGACTGTCCTGACTATCCTGGAACCCACTATATGGACCAGCTTCAAAGTCAGAGATCTGCCTGCTTCTGCCTCCTGAGTGCTAGGAAGGGCGTGTGCTCTACACCTGGCCAGGATTACTTGAGAAGGGGTATCTTGAAGGACATGTGACGTAGTAATGCTCATCCATCACTAGCATTTTCAGAGTTCCCCTTTCCTTCCATTCTCTGTTGACACAGGGTCTTACTGTATTGCATAGGCTTGACATCAGCTAACCTTAAGATCTAACCATGCTTTTTTTCCTTTGACAAATATAAAAGAGGCCCTGTCCCTAACAACATGCATATACCTGTTTACCACTCTGGAGGCAGGGACTGGGAGAACGGAGTCAATAAATGCAATAGCTGACCTTATTCAGAGCATCAGACAGTTTATACTTTAAAGGTTAAGAAGAGTCATGTGAGTAATACATCCAATCACAAGGGCGAGCTGCACATGTTGGGCAAGTCACTTGTGACTGAAACCCATTTTTCCATAGACATAGAAATAAACAACAGCCCGTTGTAATTAATAATAATCTGAAGCAAACTCACTCCCATCTGCTACAGAGTTGTATGAAAACACATTCCAAGAACAACTCTGTCTTAAAGAAACAGCTCACAAGATTCTTGTTTTCTTGAAGTTTTCTCACAACTACTTAGAATTCTCCTCACATGAGTCCCTCCTTAGACCATGTTTGGACATACATGCATTTAAACTTCTGGACCCAAGTGATCCCCTTGCCTCAGCTTCTTGGGTATTTGGGATTATTGATGCACCCCATGTACCCAGTCAATTAAAAACTTTCTTTAACATTTTGATTGGGTTCCTGTTTCTTTGAATTTAGAGCATTTGTGTGGCTGTCTGACAGGGCAGGATGGGTTTGTAGGTCTCTGGTGACATTTATAAGGGTGTAGACATTTCTGGTGTCTATTACTGTGTAATTAATGGATATTCTCATTTCTTAGCTGAATTAATATAAACATCTGTGTATTATTATGACATGTAACAGTGAATATTTTGTTAAATTGTGTAACCTTGCACACCTTTTTCAGGTCAAAGGACTGGATGCTGTTATTCTGGGCCTGCTCATTCTAGATGGTGAATCTGTCTACAGCCTGACCTCAAAGCCCATACTGCTGTTAATAGCACACATTATCCTAGTGAACGTCAGACATAAGTTAACAGCTCTCCAGGTAAGGCAAGGGAAGGCTCTGAGCATTCCACACAGGTCCCTTCTGTGCCTTTTAATGTCAGACTGATGCTGTCTGTGTCTCAGTAGATTTTGTTTTCTGTATCTTCTTTGAGAGACTTAGAAGTCTCATGAAAATAAAAAAAAAAACAATTTTCTTATGAGATAAATCTTGTATAAGATCAGTGTGTATGGAGCCTCTTTAGTAGGAGAGAGAGAGAGTGAGAGTGTGTGTGTTTGTGTGTGTGCGTGTTTTCATTCTTTGAATTTTAAGTAAAGCTTCTAAAGTTCATTCATGGTCTGTTACAAATTTGAGCTAATGATAGCCAATAGCAGTGGGAATGGAAGGGATCTGAATTACTGGCTTCTGGTTTCTTTCTTCCCCCCGTACCCCCCCACCCTAGACAAGGTTTCTCTAGCTTTGGAGCCTGTCCTGAAACTAGCTCTTGTAGACCAGGCTGACCTTGAACTCAGAGATTCGCCTGAGTGCTGGGATTCAAGGTGTGTGTCACCACTGGCTGGCAGGCCTCTGGTTTCTTTGTGTTGAATGTAGTAGAGCTATCTGTTGTGTGGCTTCTTCGGATTGTATACACAGTGAGGAATCATGCAGGAAGTTGGTAGGCACAAGGAATGCCACACTGGAAGTCAAAGGTCTCAGTTTTAGGTGGAGGTTGTCAGCTGTGTAGTCTGCGAGGTGACTGCTTAGCTCTAATGTGTGGAAGTTTGAGAGCAGCTGCAGTCTGTCAACAGATGGGTTGAGTTGTGTTCCAATAAAGCATTATTTGACTGGGCATGGTGGTGTACACCTTTAATCTCAGCACTCACGATGCAGAGGTAGAGACAGGTGGACCTCTGAGTTGGAGGCCAGCCTGGTCTACAGAGTGAGTTCTAGGACAGCAAGGGCTACACAGAGAAACCTTGTTTTGAAAACCCAAAAATCAAAAACAAGCAAATTCTTCTTTTTCCATGTGTGGATATTTTGCCTGGCTTCATGCTGTGCCACTTGAAGCTGCAGCACTCTAGAAGCTCCGTGTATTTATTATGTGCAGATGAAAAGGAGGCGGGGCTGTTGCACACAGTTGAACAAGGAAACTGTTCAGCTAATACTGGTAGGAGCAGTCTCTGTAGGGAAAGCAACCTTTAGGCAGTAAACGTGGGTATGGGTGGAGGTGTGGGAGTTGGGGGAAAGTTGCCATGGATATTTTCTGCACATTGTGTCAACATCCTCACACAGACTAGGGAAGCCACTTCCCTGAGCCTCACCTGGGGAAGGCTTGCCAATTTCCACAGGTCTAAGGCATTGGGGTTCCTGACATGGCTATGGCCTTGTCAAACAATACACATTCCCTCAGGATTCTACATGCTCCCTATGTGAGTGTGTATGTACCACATGCATGCTGGGTACCTGCAGAGGCCAGAAGAGGGTGTCAGATCTGGAACTGGCCTCACAGATGCCTCTTAGCTACCATATGGGTGCTGGGAATCGAACTCAGGTCCTCTAGTTCTCTTCTTAATCTTGGAGCCATCTCTCCAGCCCTTCCCCCACTTTTTAGTGGCATGATGAATATTTACAAAACCCTCTCTTTTTATAGACTTTGTTCTTAATTATGTGTTTGTGTCTCTGTGTGGGTCATGCAGGTGAGTACACATGCCAGAGGAGGCCAGAGGTCTGAGTCCCTTTGCCGTATTTGTGGATCTGTATGTAATACACACTCTCCCCTCTTCCCACCCTGTCTGCTCAGTCTCTAGACAGGAATTAATAGCTTGTACATGCTGAGTAAGTCTCAGCTTTGACATCAGGCCACAGTTTTCGTCTCTCCTCAGCTGTGTGACTTGAGGCCAGGTGTTCTCTCTAGCTGACAGTTGCTTAGCCTGGTGAGACTCTAGGATCAGTGCCCAGCACTGGGGGAAGAAAAGAGGAAACCTCAAACAGAATGAGTTCCTTTTTGACTGTTTTACTGAGTCTGCCATGGAGAAGGTTTTTTTTGTTTTTTTGTTTTTTTTTTTTTTTTACATGCAATACTTTATTTTAGACATGCAGGTAAAGCTGTTCAGAATCTGCTAATTTAAAGCAAGCAGCTGTATTACAGATACCCCACCCCCAAAAGTGCAACATTTTGTTACAGCTCAGCACACAGCATCCAGAACAAACAGGCATGAGACAATGCATATTTATGCAACATTAAAATCAGATGAACAACATGTAGGGTGGGAGGATGGGAAGAAGGTTTTTGACTAGCGCATCTTCTCAGTCTGTGTTGACTGGTCAGTGCCTTAACAGGAGGTAAGGCTGTCGGTTTCCGTTTTTCAGCACCTTAGTTTTTCTGCTGTGTACTTCTTAGCAAGTGAAACGGGCGTTTGCATTTCCCAGTAGAGCGGAAGGGAAAGCTCCTGATGGGCTCTGCACTCCTACCTGTCACAGACCCTCACTTCAGGGTTAAAATCATAGAACCCATCTTAACGAGCTCAGCGCCTTAGGTCATGTGTTTTCTTAACAGCTCAGTCCTTTTGACTGGAGGCAGCTGAATTCCCTTGTCTGGAAAGGGAAAGAGCAAGCTGCCAGGCCTGACTCATCGTCCTGATGGCAGATAAGGGAGAGAGTGAAGTGTAGACTGACTTCACTAGGTTCAGTGACTGGAAAGAGGAAAGTAAGGCAGCGCCTCAGAGAATTCCTCTAAAGTAAACTGATTTGAACTTCCTTCCTCTTAGATAATCCCGCTTTCCTTTTCTGGACTGAAAAGCAGCGTTAATAGTGTAAAAGGATTTCACTGCAAAGTCAGAAATTCACACGTGACTTCAATTATACTCGTTGCGTGTAGCTGATCGGAAGGGGACCCTTCCCCTTGTCTGAACCGAGGGTCTGGGCCATGCTGGACAAGTGCTCTTGCTGTTGATCCTCCAGCCCTCTCTCCACGCTTTGATCCTTCTGTTTCAGTGTTCCAAGTTCAGACCTGCGACACCAGGTCTGGGAGAAAGGCACTCCTGAATCAAATGAGATACTACATTCAAGTAAAAAATGCTTTTGATAATTCAGCATGATCTATTAGTAACTATTGCTACTGAAAAATAAAAGTTAGTTTCTTACACAGTCATGTAATATAATTCAGGGTAGCAATTATTTTTTTTTTCTTTTTTGAGATGAGATCGCAAAGTAGCTAAGGCTAACTACCTTAAACTACCTGGTTGAGATTGCAATTCTCCTGCTTCTGCTTCCTGAGTGCTGAGCTTGTGGGTATGAACCATTTGCCTGCCTAGCTTATTTTAGATGGCCCAGTATATACTCAGACTTTTTTTTTTATTGGTATTTATTGAGCTCTACATTTTTCTCTGTTCCCCTCCCTATACTCAGACTTTAATAACCCTTTTAAAATATGTATTATGGCTCACACAGATACACTAATAGAGACATGAATACATAGAGAAGAATATCTATGTTAGTAATCTTTGTTATGGCCTTTTCTAGAGGAAGACAGGATTGAGACAGAAAAGGGAGACAGTGTGTGTGTGTGTGTGTGTGTGTGTGTGTGTGTGTGTGTAGACGCCAGGGGTCTATGTTAGGTGTCTTCCTTCATTGCTCTACATTTAATTTTTGTTTTGTTTTTGCTTTTGAGACAGGGTCTCTTTATATAGCCTTGGCTGTCATGGAACTCATCTTGTAGATCAGGCTGGCCGTGAACTCTAGGGATTCATTTGTCTCCACCCAACAGTGTTGAGGGTGCAGATGTGTACTGTTTATACCACCTTATTACAGCTTCTTGTTCTGTTTCTTCTTTCCTACTCATCTGTCCATCCGTCCATCCGTCCATCCACCCGTCTATCTAATCTATCGTGTGTGTGTGTGGGGGGGGGGGTACCTGTGTGATTCATGGAGTCCAGAGGAGAATGTCACCTCTTCTTGTACTGCCTCATTCCCTCAAGATGGCTGCACTGACTCTGAAGCGCTGTCTCTGCTAGGCCCACTGGTGAGTTCCTGAGATACTTCTGTCTGATCCCCAGTTCTGAGTCATAGTCACGTGTGGTGTTTTTATGTGGGTGATGGTGATTTGAACTCTTGGTCCTTATTTCTGTGCAGCAATTGCTCTTACCTGCTGAGCCTTCTCCCTGGTTCTCGTCTCTCTTGATAAGGATGTATTGATAAACAAGAGGAAGCATGAGTGAATTAAAGGAAAACCTGCTCTATGCTCAGTTCGTACCTCAGTTGAGTTGTTTTCCCTTGGGTTGTGAAGGGAATGGAGCGTCATGGCAGAGCAGGGCGCTTGGCGTAGGGAGGTGGTGTGTCTGAAGCGACTTCAGAAAGCAGGAATGGAGACAGAGCAGCAGCTTTTGATCCTGGTGATTAAGCTTATCTAGGAATGAGTTTCAAGAGTGTGAAAATAATCCAAGAACTAGTCTCAGTTAGTGCAGTGTTTTTCCTAAGCGTCTCTTAATTTCAGCTTCGATGGTGCTTTTTTCTAGAGCTTGCCGTGGTGGACTCTGAGATATGTGAATATTCACCAACAGTTGCTTGAGGAGCGTTCGCCTCAGCTTTTCGCTCTTGCTGAAAACTGTATTGATCAAGGTATGTAGCATATTTTTTTAAATTATTTATTTATTACTGTTGTACACATGTGCAAGTATTTATGCATGTGAAGGTCAGAGGACAACTTTGGAGTACACGTTTTCTGTTTTGTTGTGAGATATGGTTTCTCTGTGTAGCTCTGACTGTCCTGGAACTTGCTTTGTAGCCCAGGCGACCTCGAACTCACAGAGATACTCCTGCCTTTGCTTCCTGAGTGCTGGGTTTAAGAGGCACACCACCACTGTCTGGCTTGGTATAGACACTCTCATTCCACCTCTTGTGGAATCTGTGAGTCAAGCTCAGGTTGCCAGGCTCCCATGGTGAACACCTTTACTTGCTCAGCCGCTTTGCTGGTTGGTTGTTTTTGAGACAGGTTGTGCTGTGTAGACCTAGCTGGGCTAGAATTCACTGTGTAATCCTAGTCTGGCCCCAAACTCATAATCTTCCTGCTTCAGCCTGTGTTATAGATGCTGTCCGTTGTGCCCAGCTTACAAGACTTTTGTTTGATACAGATATGTACCTCATTCTAATTTCTTGTCTGAGATGTTTCATTTGAATCTATTCTTTGACTTATTTTTGTGGCTTCTTGTATGGAGTTGTTTCTTTTTCTTCTGGATGGGTACTCACGAATTACTAGGTGTCTGAGTGCTGAATCCCTTCTTTTTGTTTTCTCTGGTATTGAAGACCAAGCCTAGGACCTTGCACATTTAGGTAGGTGCTTTGTCTCATAACAGCATCTCTTTCTCATCTTTTTTGTCTTTTGAATTTTCAAAAATAAGGTCATGCTGGGCAGTGGTGGCGCACACCTTTAATCTTAGCACTTGGAAGGCAGAGGCAGGTGTGTTATTAGTATTGTAATATGTGAATAGTTCATTCACCTAGTCCTCTGTTGATAGACATGAAGGCTTTGGACTCTTTCCCTTCTTTTACTGCCAAATTTTGATCCTAGAAGGTAAACTTTAGTGATAGAGGCAGGACCTGATTTCCATAAGTAGCAAATCATCAAATTTGCACCTGTTACTTGTTCCGCCCTTTGGTGTCATCTGGAAGTTTAGTTCCATCTTCTCAATCATATAAAATTTTGCTGCCAGATAAAGTCAAGTCGCCCCCCTCTCCCCCCCCCCCACAGTAAGTTGCAAGGTCCACTTGTTTTCAGAGTTTTTTGGAAGTGCTACAGCTAGATTTTAGAGTTATGGTAGAATCAGGTAAAGATTGTCTAGCGGGGTTGGAGATCTAGCTCAGTTGGTCGAGTGCTTGCCCAGCATCTGTGTAGTCCCTGGCACATCATAAGCCTGTAGTTCCAGCATTTGCGAGGTGGAGGAGGGAAGATTGGGAGTCGAAAGAGTTCAGGATCATTCTTACCTACATAAAGAGTTTGCACTCCAGGAGATTCTGTCTTTGTGTGTGGATGATGGGATAGACTTGATAGACAGCTGGTTTGCCACGGGTGCAGAAACGGGTACATTGACAAACCATAGAGGCTCCGAGACCCGAGAGAGTGTAATTGGCCTGAGGGTCCAAAGGAAAGTCATTGTGCTAAGCAGAGGAGGTTTGCTGGGCAGTGGAAGTCCAGCACTGTGCAGGACAGGACGGGGCAGCTTGGGGAGCTGTCTTCATCATAAGGTAAATCTATTTGCCATAGGTAAAATCACAAGTGGTGTGGGAAGTCTTTCTGTATATATGTTGTTTTTATTGGTTAATGATTAAAGAAGCTGTTTCTGCCAGTGGCTAGCTGAATAGAACTAGGCAGGGAAAACAAAACTGAAAGCTGGGAGAAAGAAGGTGCAGTCAGAGAGAAGCCATGTAGCCCTGCAGGAGACAGATGCTGGAACTTTACCCTGTAAGCCACAGCCTTGTGGTGATACATACATTAATGGAGATGGGTTAATTTAAGATATGAATTAGCCAGAAATATGCTTAAGCTATTGGTCAAACAGTATTGCAAATAATATGGTTTCTGTGTGATTATTTAGGGACTGAGCAGCTGGGAATGAACTAACAGGCCTCCGCCAACACGCAAGTGAGAGTCTTAAAGGTTTTGCCAGTGGTAGGCCTGGTCAGCATGGTTGGTCATGCCTGCTAGCAGTTGTGTGATAGCAATGTGCTGGTTGCAGAAGTTATATAATATTTTACTTTCATTGGTTTTCTATGTTCTCAGTGAGGTAGACTCTGGTTGACTTCTGATTAGGTCATGAGTTGTTGTGTGGGTCCTCATTTTGCAGTTAGGAATATTTTTTTTCTTTTAATTTTTTAAAAAAATATTCACTTATTCATATGTAAAATGTCTATGCCATGACATATATGAAACGTTTATCTAATTATTCTTTAAAAAAATTAATTATTAATTATTTAACATACATTGGGATTTTGCTGCATGTATGTCTATGTGAGAGTGTCAGATCTCCTGGAACTGAATTTACAGACAGTTATGAGCTGCCATGTGGGTGCAGAGAATTGAACCTGGGTTCCCTGGAAGAGCAGCCAGTGTTCTTACCCACTGAGCCATCGCTCCGGCTCCTATCTAATTATTTTTTACCAATAAAACCTCAGGACCACCTCTCTCATACTCTCTCTTTCTCTCTCTAGTTCCTCAATCCAAAAGGGCTGAGACCTCTCTAAGCCCTGCCCTATTACTTCCGTGACTGTCTATCTGTCCTCAGTCCTCCAAAACCTCTGTGGTTAGTTTTGGTCAGCTAGTAGCTAGCTCTGCTCTCTGATTCAAGACAAACTTTATTGATAGTCTTGGGAGCATCAAAATGCGACCAAAATAGCATACAACACATGCTGTGTGGAGGCCAGAGGACAACTTGAGATAGTCAGTTGGGTCATCAGGTTGACGGTCAGGCTTGGTGGCGAGTGCCTTTACCCTGAGTCATCTCAGCTGGTCTGGATATATTTCAAATGTTCTTTCCTGTGTACTGTTTCTCAGTCCCATCTCAGTGCCGAGCAGAGCACATCTGCAGATGTTTCGTTGTGTTTCTTCATGCTTTCATGTGTGAGACTCGGCTTCTGTGAGAAGGGAATGGTACTTACTTGTCTTTGGGAACATCACTTCTCTACCTCTGCTCTTTACTCTGGGAAGTTTTCCACATTTTCAGGAACTTAACTACCATCACACCCTATCCCCTTTGAATAGTTTTATTTATTTCTCCCTTCCATCTTTTGCTTTGCACCAGTAGTTTCAAATAGTCCCATGCATGAGCCCCCTTGAAAACTGTTGCTGAAAGAAGCTGCCTCCCACTGCCTAGGCCTGCAGTCGGGTCATGGTCTCCCACTCTTTTCCTTTTGACTGGGGCAAGGACGACAGTGGTGACAATGACAGTGTTTTCTCTTTTTTCCTGGAGTGTGTGTGTATAGGGGGAGTAAAACTCAAAAGTCAAATCGCTTAGCAGTTACTCCACTTGAACAAAGGTATCATGGTGATGAATTCCCTTTCCAGCCCTCCTCTGGAACCAGAGGTTGGACAGGGTTTGGGGCAGTGCCATTAGGCAGCCTTCCTGCTATCTTCTTGTTCCCATTGCTGGACCTGGGGAGGCAGCTGGCCCAGTTCCCCCCTCTTCATTGCTAAGATCATCTTTTGTGTTTCTGTGGCTCTGTAGTCTGGTCACAATCACATTCTGGCTTGCTTTTCACTTGTTTATTGGAATCTGACTCTAAGTTTTGATGTCTGTCTCCCTTTCTGGAAAACTCTCAGCGGTTATCTCTTCACCTCTTTTTGAGGCACTGTCTTCTCTTTCTTAATCTTCAGACATGTCATATATCCTATGTGCGTCCTCACCAGACCTTAGTTTCTTTTGTTGTTGTTTCTCTTTGTTTTCCTAAGTTATATTCTGCAGAAGTTCTTTTAGATCTGGCTCCATTTCTCTGCCCTGTCCATTTAATTTTGAAATTTAAGAAAATTCTACTCTTTTGATCAGTTCCTTGTTTTGCTTCTCTGGCTAATATTTTTTGCATGTGTATGTGAGTGTGGTGTGTGTATATCTACATGTTTGCATGTGCATGCACATGGAGACATCAGGTTGATGTTGTGTGTTTTGAGGTATCCCAGGTGCGCTCAGAACTCACTAATTTGGCATTTAGCTAGCCAGCTTGCTCCCGGAATGACAGTTCCACTTTCTGTATATTGGGATTTCAGGTTGCTTGGGACCACCCATGTCTGGCTCATTTCTGTAATCCCTTGTTTGTATTTTCTTTCTTTTTTTTTTAAAATATTTATTTATTTCTTATGTATACAATATTATGTCTGTGTGTATGTCTGTAGGCCAGAAGAGGGCACCAGATCCCATTACCGATGGTTGTGAGCCACCATGTGGTTGCTGGGAATTGAACTCAGGGCCTTTCGAAGAGCAGGCAATGCTCTTAACCTCTGAGCCATCTCTCCAGCCCTCTTGTTTGTATTTTCTAACTTTTTGTTTCTTTCGTTTCTTGAAGCCCATTAAACATTTCAGGTGTGTGGTAATCTGTGTCACTCACTACTTGTGCTAGCGTCAGCAGAGGACTAACAGTAACGGCTATACACTCGGGAGTGATGGGAGAAGAAAGTTAAAGAAAAGAGAGCAGTCAGGATGATGCGGTCCAGCCTCTCCAGGTCTGGTTTGCATGAATGAAATGTCCCGATGCCCGCATGCCGTCCTCACTGGCTTTAGCTCACTCCAGAGAATCTCTCGGAAGGGCTGGCACTAAGTGAAGGATACACTGTTCTGGCTTTTCAGACCCACTTTAATTTCAGCTGCAGCAAGACAAAGGCAGATCTTGTTCCTTAGCTGTAAAGACTGTGACAGGCGCATCTCTAGCTGATGAAATAGCCTGGGTTCCTGTCGCGCCTCCTCTGTGCCTTGTCCTTCCACCTATGCCTGCTCTTTTCTCCTATACGGTCAGGAGAAGCTTGGATTCCAGTCCTGGCTTTGCTGTGTAACAGCCAAGGTGACCAGTCGGTCAGTGAGCTGTCTGAGCTGTGTTTTGTTTTTCTTTGTGGTGCTGGGAACTGAACTTAGGGTCCCACTGCTAGAGAGGCACCATGCCCTGGAGCTCTGTTGAGTGCTCCCTGTTGTACTGATTTAAGTGGAGAGAGCATCCTCCTCAAAGGCAGCATTGTGAGAACTTACACACTCACTGAAAGTACCCAGTGCTAAGAGGAATAGCTGTTTAGTAAGTGTGATCTCTCTCTCAGCTTGAGAAACTCATCCCCAGTGGTAGGATGCTTGAAGCATACTTCCCACCCTTTCGTTTCATTCATTCTTATAGTATGCTTTGTCAAAAACTGACGAAGCCATTACTAAAAATAGCTTAACGACGAGCTTGTCAAGGATGTTGTAGAAGAGAATACTGTTCTGGGGTACCAGTTGGATGAACATCCTGCTGTATGAGCAATTGTAAACCCTGGTGTGTGTAACAGTATTATATTCTTTAGTATATATAATTATTTTTGATGATCATTTTATCTCAGATGCTTTGTTGTTAGATTATTATTCTTCCCTTATTTATTTTAAAATTTTAAAAAATTGCATTACATTAATTAGTTTGCATGTCTGTATGTGTGTGTGTATGTGTGTGATGTATGTGTGTGTGTATGTATGTATGTGCAGGAGCCTATTTGATATTTTCACACACATACATGTTTCTTAAGGAAGAAAGTCTATATTTTCTATGAAATGAAAATCATTTCCCTCAACCACTCTCCCTTTTTCCAGATTTTTCATGGTGTCGAATGTACAGGTTTGATTTGTCACTTTGTATCAGCATCTTATGTTCCTATGTTTCTGGCCATATTTTTATAGGATGGTTAAGACAGGTACTGGGAAGGATCAGTGCTGTGAATGGTACCTCCTAGGACCGAGTATGTGGGTGCAGAAGGCAATATAAAGTCTTAGCTGCGTCTTTGGAGCATATAAGTGCTTAGAGAATGCTGGCTGTTAGCTGCGGTTGTATTTGTGTTCTTTGATGTGTTTAATGTTCTTCAAAATTTTAACTTAAACTATGTATACTTTAATATTTTGGGGCTCTGTTTTACTCACCTTAATTTTAATGTTTCATGTTTTGTCTCACAGTGATGAAACTAGAGAATTTATTTGAAGGTGATTCAGGTCGACTTTTAGCTATTCAATTCCATCTGGAAAGTGCATATGTATTTTTGTATTATTATGAATATAAAGAAGCAAAAGACCGATTCAGTACTGCTAAAGACATGAGCAAGTTACAGGTTAATCTGACAGGTAAGACTTTACTTTTCATGGGTAATTGAATGTATGTATGTATGCTAGTATGAATTGAATGTATTATATTAATATGTATGTTGGCAGTTTGTAGTGCATTTTGGCTTTTGATTTTTTTTTTTTTTGTCTTTTTGGTTGTGACGCATAGCCTTTATTGGCTGAGCCATCTCTCCATTCTTCTTGATTATTTTTTTTATGTAGATTTTATGTAGATTCCAGATTTTCTCTATGTTGCCCAGGCAGGCCTTGAACTCCTGATACTGTTGTCTTAGTCTCTTTAGTGTTGGGATTTGGGATGCTCTATCATGCTTAGTCTAGTATTTAATTTTTTAGAGCCTACCTATTTTTTTTTTTTATTTGACAATACATTTAAAAGATTTTATTTAAAGTTTATATTTCAAACAAGTTTGGAGTTACATTTTTGTCATAGAGTCTATTTCTTGTTCTAAACTAGTTAAATATTCGGTAGTAAATAAATGGACCTTGGATCGTTTGGTTCTGGATAAACCTCCAGAGAGCTCTCCTGACTTTCTAGTTTGGTCCCGCCCCATGCATTGCCCATTCTTTTTAAACTCTCCTGTTGTCTCTGTCCTGCTTTGTTGGAATGCATGCTGTGTTTCCGGGGCATTTCTTAGGTGTATCTTCAGTGCGTTACAGAAGTTCTCCTAAATCTGCTGTTGTCTCTTCTGAGTGCCACGTGCTGCTCCCTCCCTAATCTGTACAGTATAGTTTCCCTTCAGTGTGAATGAACTAATGAGGCCAGGACCACCAGTTTAGGGCCCGGCTGAGCATCCCAGGCTGTGACACCTGCCTGTGCATTCTGTGCTGACACTTTTATCCCATGCGAGGCCTGGGTCATTTCCTAGATCTTTTCTCAGCCCCAGTGTTCTGTGCTTCCTGTTGAGTCAATGCTAATTGATAAAATATTCTAGCTGTACTGTGAGTCAAATATGGCTTTATGGAATCTTAGCCTTCTTTTATTACAGTGTTTGTGTGAGAAAAGTTATTTGATATCTGGTTTATAGTTTTTGGAACAATGCCGTGAATAACTTGAAGTCTTGTCTGTATTTGAAAATGTAGTTACATGTAATAAACTTTTGAGGTTCATTTCAGAGAATTTTTTTCAAATATTTTTGTTTTGGGAGGCTTTTGGGGGATTATTTAAATATTAATGACACAGTGCTTTGTATATTCAGCTTTAACTGGTGGTGTATTTAATAGCTGTTACAGTTTTTTATTTTTTTTCCCCAAAGTTGAGGTAAAGAACTTAAAAATAGAAGTGTGTTCCCACATAAAAGGAAATGAGACCCAGATTATGATTTTTTCCCCCACTCAGCTGTAGAGTTTCTATAAAAAAGTAAACTGTTGAGCCACTCAGGTAGCCATCTTGACGTGCGTGTTCCCAGGGTTGACAGGCACTCATGGCCGGAGTCATGGCAGTGCGGAAAACTGACTTCTCAGGCTGGTCTTCGCCATTGCACATTTTCCAGAGTGGATGTGGACGCCTTGCTTCTCGGCAGCGTTGTCTGAAAATGTGCATACGGTCTCTGAGACATAAGGAAAAGCTGGTTGTGTCATGTGAAGCCAGGGTCGTAGAAGCTTAGGCCCTGGCTAAATATAGGCTTTAGAGCAGGGGATCCTGAGCGTGTGAGGACAAGTGTTCAGCCTCTGTCTTCCCATGTGTATTATCCACATATACATTCTGTTTGTATGTATGTATGTATGCATGTATGTATGCATATGTGAATTCTAGCCACAGTACTTAACTTATTTATTCAGAAGAGACTAAAAAATGAGCAAAAGTAGGAATTGAGAATCTAGTGTCCAATCCTGGGTTTGAGCCTTGGCACCATAGTTCCTTGGCTTCAGGAAGTCATTGACCATCAGTGTGTGGATGGAGAAAACCTTTAGCACTCTGAAAATATTAGTCATTGCCATGTACTATAAATCCGACTGCCAGATCCACATGGAGGATTGTATTTTAATTTTCAGGAGCATTGGGAAAAAGGACACGATTCCAGGAAAATTATGTGGCACAGCTGATTCTAGACGTCAGAAGAGAAGAGGACGTCCCTTCTAGTCATGAGTTCAGCCCAACACCCACCCCCCAGGAATACCTTACCAAGGTAGGTTGATGTGAATTGTGCAGTTGAACAGCATAGTCAGTAGGTGACTCTTATAGAAGCTCTGAGTGGATGAGAGTAAGTTCATTGTCCCTGTTTTCAGGTAAAAATGATCAGTATCTTTCTCTTAAAATTTTCAGTCACACAGAGGCCACGCTGCGCCCACAGTCACACGGCTGCCACGCTGCGCCCACAGTCACACTGAGGCCATGCTGCACCCACAGTCACTCGGCTGCCACGCTGCACCCACAGTCACACGGCTGCCACTCTGTGCCCACAGTCACACTGAGGCCATGCTGCACCCACAGTCACACGGCTGCCACGCTGCGCCCACAGTCACACGGCTGCCACTCTGTGCCCACAGTCACACAGCACAACTCCCTTACAGTGGAGCAGTTATGAGTTAGCAGTGCCACCGCATTTCCCCTTGGCATATAGAAGAGACAAAGAGGCTATAAAGAGGCTATATCTGGTTATTTTGATTTTTGCCTTTTGAAGCAGTCTCTAGCTGTATAGACAAGGTTGGCTTTTAGTTCCTGCTCTCCCAAGAGGCTTGGGTCCTGGAACCCTGAGTAGGAGTGTTGAGGGAATAGAGACATACAGACATACATACAGTAAAGCTGGGTTCAGACGGGTGTCTGCAACCTCTGTGACCTGGAACTGCAGCATATTTATTAGGTAGAGCACAGGCCTGGGGGGTGCTTAGCTGGTCTGTGTAGGAAGTCTCTGTCTGAACCTCCAGGAGCAGGAGGGGCAGTTGCTAATCCCTGCACACACTCATCAGTTGTGCAGTAACCTTTCACGTGGACTCCCGAGGAGAGCTTTCACATTCCTTCTAGTCCTGGCCATATTGCCAGTTTCCTGTGGGTCTGAGGCCTTGGAGCCCTCAGCATGTCTACAGCCATGTCAACAATACTCAGGGCTGCCTCTGCTCCCTGTACTAGGATTGTAGGTATGAGCCACCGTCCCTTTACTTTTTTCTTCTGTGAATATTTAACATTCAGAGACTTGACAATTCTCTGGCTTCTTCTAAATATGTAAACCAGCAAGCAGAAGTCCTTTTCTCTCATTTTACAGTCTGCCTTCTACTCTGTCATTATTGGGTTGGTTGGTGCTCCAGTATGCTTTTTTGACATGTCTAATGAGTTCTTTTCTTGTGGCTTGCATTTAAGATTCTTGAATGCTTGACTTCCTAGGCCTGGGCAACTGCTTCCATGGGGACCACAAACATGTTTTCGTTTTCCAGAGATTCCCATACCTACAGTTTTATATGCTAATTAAATTTTTTAAAGATTTATTTTTATTTTATGTGTATGGTGTTTTGTCTGCACATATATCTGTGCACCACATGTGTATAGTGATCAGAGGGAATTGGATCCCTTGGAACTGGAGTTATAGCTTGTTGTGAGCTGCCATGTGGGTGTTGGGAATCGAACCTGGTTCCTTTGAAAGAGCAGCCTGTGCTCTTCACTGTTGACTCATCTCTCCAGCTCCACATCTACCGTTTTCTATTGTCCTTTTATTGATTTTAATGTCTTTAGTGCCTCTGCTTCAGTACGTGTTGTTTTAGAACCTATAAGTAAATTTACCTTAAGTAGACTGAATACCAAATTTCTATTATGTTCTGAGAGTAATGCCAAGGGGAGAGACTAGGGCTGAGGGACAAGGAGGCGCCATCATTCAGTTTGGTCTGAGGAGAACCTCTGATAAGAATGCAGGTGGGTTCCAAGTTCACTGTTTGCTTTTGTGGTAACCTTAGTAAGGGACAGCTGTTGGTTCTAGAAGAATGAGTAGAGGAGAGAGGTTGCAGTGTTGAATTAGGAGCGGCGGGGCTACGTCCCTGGCACCAGGCCGCCCTCATGGCTAGGTTATGCCCAGAAATAATTACACGGAAACTGTATTCTTTCAAACACTGCCTGGCCCGGCTAGTTCCAGCTTCTTATTGGCTAGCTCTTACATATTGTTCTAACCCATTTCTAATATTCTGTGTAGCCCACGAGCTGGCTTACCAGGGAGGATCTTAACCTGCGTCTGTCTGGA